CCAGTTCCCTTCCGTCTCGGAGAAGTAGTAGCATTTCTCTCGGTAACTGACCCAGCCGCCCGGGCATGAGGCCTCTGGGAATTTAGGATCAGCCAGACACAGTTCAGATTTTCTCACTGGAGATGAGGAAATAACACAGGATCAGAGATTTTCCCTTCCTCTCTCCTACAGAAATCAAATGGACAAGCCTCTCAGTGACATTTTCTCCCAACCCTCTTCTACATTAGGGAACCCTGGGCAGAAACGTTCCTTTACAAGGTGCACAGGACCCAAACACCCATCCAGGGATTACAGCTGTGGGGTTTGATGGGGCCACCCTGTCAACACTGGGCTGTGTGGGTCTCCTGCACCAGCCTTAACACTCACATTCGAAAGCATTTTCAATATCAAATATTTACTATCCAAGAGTGCTGTGCTATTAGTCATGTGCAATGGGGATTAGTTAGCATTGCTTTTGGAACTTAACCACAACCCACATTTGCACTGCAAACGCCAATCTCACTTAGTCTTCACCTCTGCAATTTTCTCATGTACATATTTAAACTCTGCAGCCTCAGAGGGGGTGTTTTTGCAATGAATCACACCGTGCCCCATAGCACGGTCAATGACCCATGGGAGCTGAGCTGTGGGAATGACTGAGGTTGGGAAAGGCCCTGCTGAAAGGTCAAATACTCTGTAGAGTGGATGCACTGTCCAAGGTTGGGCAATAGGAGATTGTGAAGTTTTCAGCACTGAAAGTAAAATGATTTTCTCACCTGACCACGCAATAAAGAGACTGATGAGAACGATATTGAGAACCACACTCAGAATTGTGAAAGGACGAGACCATGTCTTGACTCTTGACAGACAGCCTGAAAAACAAACAAAACATCTATACTACCTGGTATTTATATGGCCCTCTCCCCTCCCCCGATTGCTACAATAATGTTCCTAGGGCTGCTGTCTGAGACCATAAGGGATCAATCTTATATTAACAAGATCAGCTAAAAGCTAGTTAAAAAAAGTGGCCTGGGATATCTTCAAAGGAACTCTGGCTAACAGGGCTCTGGCAAACCCATTCCCACCATGAAGTCCTGGAAAAGTTTGGAAACAATGGTCGAGGACATGAATATCTCATCGAGGAAAGAATTAGCTGAAATAAATGGCTGAAAGAAGACATCCTCTGAGAAATATCAGAGCACCTCAGAAAACAGCCACTATCATGCGATTGTTGAGCAGGCACACAGGAGGAATAAAAGTCAATAGAGATGGGACCAAGATACTTCCCTCTGCAAGTTGTGTCTGGAGCAGGTTTAGCACCTGCCCAGACTTTTGAATGGAATATTGAAAGGGAAGTGATGTTCTTCATGGGTAAGGCTCTACCAAATTCATGGTCCATTTTGGTCAATTTCATGGTCATAGGATTTTTAAAATGGTCAATGTCACAATTTCAGCTATTTAAATCTGAAATTTCATGGTGTTGTAATTGTAGGGATCCTGACCCAAAAGATGTTGTGGGGGGAGAGGTGGGGAAATCACAAGGTTATTGTAGGGGGGTGTGGGACCGCCACCCGTAATT